TACAGGAGAGGAGTTTGGAGGGGATGACAGGGGGCAGTATGGGCAGTTGGCATTTGTGTCTTTTCTATCTGCCCGGAGTTCAGCTTTAAGAAATACATTGATAGATAGAATACTGACAATAGTTTGGATTTTATGGCCTGCACACTGTAACCTCTTTATTCTCCAATGAGGACATTGGGTTATTTCGGCGCACTGGGCAGAACCCGTTCACCGCCAGCGCGCCATTAACATTTCATAATTAGTTTATTCCAAAGAAATAGAATTCCGTGGGACTCCACGCGGAGATATAACGCGGTGACGGCGCTGAGAGATCTCACCCTGGGAATCTCCGCCGCGTCACGTATGATCTCCTGTAATCCGGTGTGACAATGTATCGTGTTTTTCTCTTTTTCTTATAGCCGCGGCGATTAATCACGGGAGCCGCCATCATTAAAAAGTCATTTGGTGAAAGCGGAGAGAGAGAGAGCGCGGCAGCGAGGGGAATCACTGAAGACCTCGCAGTTACATATTATCCATTCTTCATGTGAATGTGTAACCAGCAAATGTTACAAAACATTCGCTTACTCATCAACCTGATACTAAGTGATATAAGAGCCTGGAGGGACGGGGCCCCTTCTTCTTCTCACGGGGCCACCATCACTCCTCCATCGTTCACTCTCAGCTCTGCCGACTGTGATATCAGAAATGGTGAGTGACAATCATATTGCCGTCTGAACTGTTCTTGACGGAGCAGGAACACGAATGTATACATATTGGACTTTAATTGTAGCGCTGAGGGGGTTCAGGGGTTACTGGGGGTCAACCGCCAAACCCAGACACGTCCATCGGATTGCCAGACAGAGAAGCGTGATTGGTCCCTCCAGAGAACACGCCTCCACTTCTCTAGAGTCCAGTGGCGGCGTGCTTTACACCACGGCATCCCACGCTTTGCATTGCACTTGGTGATGTAAGGCTTGGATGCAGTTGCTCGGCCATGGAAACCCATTCCATGAAGCTCTCTACGCACTGTTGTTGTGCCAATCTGAAGGCCACATGGAGTTTGGAGGTCTGTAGCTATTGACTCTGCAGACAGTCGGCGATTTCTGCGCACTGTGCGCTTCAGCATGCGCTGACCCCGCTCTGTCATTGTACGTGGCCTACCACTTCCTGGCTGAGTTGCTGTTGTTCCCAGTTGCTTCCACTTTGTTATAATCCCAGTAACTGGTGACCGCGGAATATTAAGTAGCCAGGAAATGTCACAGAAAACCTGAATCCAATGATTTGGAGGGGGAGGGGCCCAATACTTTTGGCAATACAGTGTATGTCATGGCAGCCAATCAGATTTAGAATATACTTGACTGTATAAAATGGACTGCTTCCTATGGGCTAACCAGTCCTAGCATGTGGTGGCTGCATTAGTTTCCCTTTTCCAGGGTAAGAACATTATCTGTGGGTACCTGTTGGTCTTGATAGAAATCCAGCGACCTTGTCACTTCCTGTGCACTAAAATGACATTTGTAAACAATGTTATCAGTGTGAACTACAAACCCCCCTGGGGGGTTGTAGTCCAAATCAAGGGAGCACTCTAGGGTGAGAATGCTTCTTCTCCATAGTGAGTGAGTGTCATCGCCTGAGGATAGAGAGTCTTTTCCTTTATTTTCAGCCAGTAACACATTTCCTGTCCCCGGGTGACAAAGCCCACCCTACTGTATGTGTAGAGGAATAGCGTTGTCACCCTAGGACAGGACTACAGTATAAGGGGAGGTGTTCTGCAATCCACAAAAAGAAAAAAGAATGATGTAACCAATAACTGTTAGCAGAGGTAACAAGCACATAAAGCTATCAGCTCACTGGTTTTCTGGCAGGATCAACAGGTATTTTTGTGCACTTACTGAACAGATGTAGCAAAGTGCTTTCAATGGGATATTTAACACACTTCAATTTTGTGACATTTTGGTCTCCCCAGCATCATTCTTACACGTAACACAATTACTTATATCCATATAGCTAAATCTTGACCCTCCCCTTTCTTTTTTTTTTTTTCCAAACATTAGGACCCTGTTCCAGAATGCCTGTATCACTGGGCAGTCCCAGAGACAGTGGAACAGCGAGGCCACCTTTAGAAGACCCTCCCCTTTCCTTTATTGGATTTCACTTCATGGAGGCTCAACATCACATGTGGGTGTTATCTAGGGCGGTCTGCATGCAAATACAACCTGCCTAAGAACGCCCACTCCTTCAGACTGACACCGGCCCATCAAGACATTGTGATATTTGCATAACTCCTCCCAAGAGCCAGCCCACTGCTTGCATCAGGGCCGAGGGCTCTTGTGTAATAATGAACCCCCTTCTCTGGTGTCAGTGGCAGCAGTAACCCCATCCCCCCTCTTTTTGGTAACAGTTACAGTAATAATAACCCCCCACATTGGTGACAGCATTAACCCCTTCTTCACTGGTGTCATTGCCAGCAATAATAACAACCCCACCCCTTCATTCTTTGCTGGAGTCAATAGTAACCCCCAGTGGCATCACAAGGGGGGTGCGGCCCGCCCCGAGGTGACACCCTTAGCAGGGGTGACAGCAAAATGACTGACAGTCGCTTCTCGGCCTTTTGGCTAAGATCTATTCCGAGTATCCTGCTGCTACTCTGCATTGTCTGTAGCTGGGACCTCGCGCGCCACAACAAAAGACCCCACAGACCGCCTTCATGTAGATTGCACTGCTGGGTTGTCATTTTTTTCTCATGCAGAGTCCTTCTTCAGATTTATTATTCATTTGCACCATAGAATGGTCTCTTCCCCAGAACACAACTGACACTCACTGTTATTAGTTATGAGTTGTGTGGTGGGTGTGTACTCCACCAGCCATTGATTTTACAGTAATACGTGATTGGCATTGTAATTCCGCATTGCTAGTTAATCTCGGGGCCTGTCACAGAGATATTGCTAGTAGAGCTTTAATACGACTGATTGCAGAGTATTTCTTATATGAGGAAAAGCACTTAACGTGATTAAACTCGGCGCATTCCCCATCAGACTATAAATCAATAGATTCGGCCACTAATCTTTGGACTGGTGCTTCCAAGCTCTGCCACTAGGAGGAGCCGTTGAGCAGCCAGCGCTCCAGGGTAGTTATAAGTCTTCTAACTTATGTCAGACCTCTTTGATGCGCCTGATCCTTTGAAATGTCTTTATACCTATTGTCACGAACCTTGGTGTGAGCCTGAAGTGACCAGGAAGGTCTAACATAGTTACATAGTTACATAGTATTTGAGGTTGAATAAAGACATAAGTCCATCAAGTCCAACCTGTTGTGTGTGTGTGTGTGTGTGTAGGTCCATGAGTGTTCTCATTCTTAAGAGTACCTGTACCCTTGTGTCTTCCCTTGCTGCTCTCGTCTGAACCCCACTGGAGATGGAACAGTAGTTATACAGACAGAGAGTGGCACAAGTGCCAGTGGCTGGTATGACTGCTGGACACATTGGATCCGCTGATGCTGACAACAGGACGCCATAGACAGCTGGTGGTTGATGGCAGACCAGACGACACTTGTGTGAGGAGCTGAAGCGTAGTCAGTAACAAGCCAGATCGGTAACGTGCGGTCAGCGTGGTAGAGAAGCAGGTGACAGAAGCGGAGTCAGGAGCAGACCGGGTCATACACTGGCGAGCAGAATGGTACCAAATCAGGAGACAGAAGAATGATCAGGGACGAGCCGAGGTCACAAGGCAGGCAGCAAGCAGGCAGAGTCAGGAAACAAGCCGGGTAACAGGTATCAGGAGCAGAAACACAGATGCAGGTTACAGCTGAAAATCCCTCAGCAAAGTGCAGTGCAGGGGCCATCTTTAAATAGCCCGTCTGGCGCCAAGGACATGCGTGTGCACGTTACTTGTGTGTGCACGTTTTTGCGTGCGTACGTGGCATAGAGCCGACTACGCGCATGCGCATAGCGTGCAGCGATCCGGGCAGAAGCTGCACTATGGGTGCTGATTGATGTACCCTGACACCTATGGTAAAAGTAGACCTGTCACAAGAGAAATGTGGGGCAAGCAAGTCAAAGAACATATGAATCTGCAGGCTTGTTTCAGATCATCGACCTAAAGTGTTGAGGCAGGTCTTCACTTAAGCCTTCTGGATATCCATAGTACATCTTAAATTTGGTCTCCATTTGGTGTCCCATATTTCCTGCTATAATTCCAACTTCTATTCACAATAATCCTACTATGTTGGTGTTACATTCATAAAAAGTGATTACACCGATGTATAAGAAGATGGCAATCAGGTAGATACCAAACACCCCTATATTACCAGTAGCAGAGGGCCAATGAAACCTTATACCTACTGTAAAAGTAGACATGTCAAGAGAGGGATGTGGGGGCAAGAAAGTCGAAGAAAGTCACAATATGAATCTGCAGGCTTGTCTCAGGTCACTAACTCAAAATATTGAAGCAGGTCTTCACTTATGCCTACAGGATGTCCATAGTACATCCTACATTTGGTGTCTTTTCTCATATTTCCTGCTATGATTCCAACTTCTATTCACATTGATCCTACTATGTTGGTGTTACATTCATAAAAAGTGATTACACCGATGTATAAGAAGATGGCAATCAGGTAGATACCAAACACCCCTATATTACCAGGAGCAGAGGGCCAATGAAACCCATTAAATCTTCTAAGTGATATATGCATACGATTTTTATTGCTTTTGGTGGCGTCCAGGGAAGGTAAAATATAAGCAGATTAAACCTTAGCTTTAAACCGCCTGCCATAGCAATATACTATATATCCCAAACCTGCCTCTCATGTCCACCCAACACTGAGCTACAAAGAGTATCATACCAACGGTGAAAAGGCTCTGAGGGGTTTCTGCTATGTTGGTCAGGCACTCTTTGTTCTGATATGACTCAAGTCCCGTTATGGTATAACATGCCCACCTTTCATTCCTCCACACTCCTGACTCTCATAGACTCTCTTAGTGCTGAAGCCTTCTGCCCACATAAGATGTCCATATAGATGGACACCCACATTTCACATCCCCACAGAAAGTAGATCCTTCACACATGGTTGGGCACAGTACTTCCTGATATGAGATTGCCATTTCCCTTTGTATTTTGGCACCTTCTGCATCTGGTTGGCATCCAGACCAACCACCAAGTTTGCCTATGCCTAGGAACGGCCCAGGTGTAAAAGAGAGATCTTCAGGCAGATGAGGCCAGTTAGCAGCTCCCCTTTGACAGAGACCATGTGATCAAATGCTTCTATTTGGTCATGAGACCTACAACTCTGATCCTCCCCTTTGGCAGACACCATGTGATCAAATGATTCTATTTGGTCATGTGACCTACAACTCTGCTCCTCCTCTTCGGCAGAGACCATGTGATCAAACGATTCTATTTGGTCATATGACCTACAACTCTAATCCCTCTCTTCGGCAAAGACCATGTGTTCAAATGCCCTTAATTGGCCATGTGACCTGCACCACCAAGGAGAATTCAAGGACAGGTAAGTAGTTTTCACCTGTGTCTATGTTTTCTATGTATTGCTTAGGTTGCTTTTTTATGGCAAATATTAAACCTATTAGTCCACTTTCTCATTGCTGCGTTTTTGAATTATCTTAAATATTTTTAATGGAATGTGTTTTATCTTTCTCCCGTTTGCTTCCAGGTGGTTGGACGGGCAGGATTCAAATTCCAGAACTGGGCACAGACCTACGGATCGAACCCAGAGCTCTACTTCCAACCAACATGTGCAGAGGAAGTGAAAGAGGTAAGGAGAGGAGTTCATTATCAACACTGGGCCACTAGTGAAGTATTCACCTCAGTTTTACCTCTTGGATATCCAGGAGGGTAAGCACCTGTGCAGTGATAAAAAAGGGGGGCACATGGTCTGTCTTGGGGTGGTTTCAACTCGCTATGAACCATTATGGCATAGACTTCTCCCCCTGCCTATCACTGTATAAGTGCCCGCTCCTGATTAGCCAATGTAAGCTCCACCCATATACACTGGGTATATTTCACAAAGGTTGGACTTTATGGACCAGTGTCTTTATTCAACCTCAAATACTGTGTAACTATGTAACACTGGGACCTGACGATATGTCTAGTCTGGGTGTAGTTTATGGGGAACCAGTTTGCTCATGTCTCATTTCTGTCCATATCTGGTATCAGTTGTAGTAAGATGGTGTGACTTACTGCTAATTGTGTGACTACAACTCCCAGCATGTTCTGCACCTAAGAGGATACCCTTGATGGTTTTATTTAACCGGCTAAAGAACAAAAGACCATAAATGAGCCAGTAAAAGATAGCTATGGATTTCAAAGATTGATATATACAGTACAGTATACCAAGCAAGGGTTATGACAAATGGGACTGCTTCTGATCTCCTGCAGGACCTCACTACTTATTTGATTTAAGTGGATTGTGACTCTTGATTAGGGCTGCCACTTTTCCTTCAAGCGAAACCCGAACACTCTAGCGACGCACAGACATTTTGGGGGGAGACATGGCTTATTCATATGTAAATAGTGTCGCCCATTCATGTGTAACTATCACAGTTGAGACTATTTTCAGTGGGGGGCCAGTAGCCCCTATCCTAATTTTGGTTGCCCCGTCTGCCTGATATCTTGTGTCCGGGTTTCTGCTGCCATGAGACCCGGACATAGCACCCAAAACCCGGACTGTCCGGGTGAATCCTGGACAAGTGGCAACCCTACTCTTGATTGATATCTCCCTACCTTTCGCTGAAGATACAGTATATCCTCCCACGTCTGGCCACCCTAAGCTCTTTTTAAATGTAAAGTGGCCTCAGAAAATAATCTTAGTTCGTGTTTAGAGACATCATAGCTTGTCTTTCTCATGCCTCCAACTGCCTGGTACATATGCACTCCTCAGCACATCGTTACTGAGAACATCCAGTGTTAATAAAAACATGTACATTAATCCCAATTAGGGTGCTTGGAGGTTGAACTATTACATAGTTACAAAATAAATCAGACATTCAATGTAGGTGATGCAATGAGGTACAAGGGTCAATATTTCAGAGAGTGCTTAAAGTGCATAAGAGACACTGGAACCTTGAGGATTCTTTATATTTTTTACTTTTAAGTTGATGTGTTGGAAGCAGAAATAATGGACAAGTGTGAGGATTTGAGGGACTTTGACAAGGGCCAAAGTGTGATGCCTACACAACTGGATCAGAGCAAACCCAAAACTGCAGCTTTTGTGGGATGTTCCCGGTCTGCTGTGGTCAGGACCGACCAAAAGTGGTCCAAGGAAGGAAAACCGGTGAGCCGGTGACAGGGTCATGGGCGGCCAAGGCTCATTGATGGACGTGGGGAGGGAAGTCTGGCCTGTGTAGTCCGATCCAATAGAAGAGATACTGGAGATCAGATTGCTGATAAAGTGAATGTTGGTTCTGATAGAAAGGTGTCTGAACACACAGAGCATCGTAGGTTGTTGTGTATGGGGCTGTGCAGCCGCAGACCGGTCAGGGATCCCATGCTGACCCTGCGACAGGGTAATGGGCAGTCAAGGCTCATTGATGCACATGGGGAGCGAAAGCTGGCCCATTCAGTCTGATCCAATAGAAGAGCTACTGTTGCTGAAGATACACCCCATCATGGAAACAGTATTCCCTGATGGCGGTGGCCTCTTCCAGCATGATAATGCGCCCTGACACACTTCAAAAATGGTTCAGGAGTGGTTTGAGGAACATAACAACCAGTTTGAGGTGTTGACTTGGCCTCCAAATTCTCCAAATCTCAATCCAATCCATCATCTGTGGGATGTGCTGGAAAAACAAGTCTGATCCATGGAGGCCGCAACTCACAATTTACAGGACTTAAAGGATCTGCTACTGATGGCTTGGTGTCAGATACCACAGCACACCTCCAGAGGTCTAGTGGAGTCCATGCCTCAACCGTTCAGGTCTCTTTTGGTGGCAAAAAGAGGACCTACTCTATATAAGGCGGGTGGTCATAATGTTATGCCTGATTGGTGTATATTACTTATATTATTGTTGTCATCCAATATTATGTTAGTAGTGAAAATAGAAAGAATCTGAATATTGGGCTGGAAGCTTCTACACGCCATAGGGCTTCCACGATCACCTTGGGTTGTGGTATGGATGAGCCGTTTAGAATTGAGGCGTCACATCATAATATTCAAGTCCAAATACAAGTTTATTCCAATGGTTGCTTGCAAAGCCAACACATTTTTTTTTTAGGCTGTTATTCTTCCCTCTTCATCAGGGCTTGGTGTGAATAAAACAATGAAGCAATGTATGTGGACTCATTTAATGAATCTAGTGTTGGATCTTAACGAGATGAGTTTACACAGCAGTCTGTCAGCAGCTGGTTAAAGCGGAGGAGGAGGAGGAGGAGGAGGAGGAGGAGGTATAGTCTAGAAGTATGTTGGCCAATTTATCCCTGGGATAAACTTATATTTGGACTTGAATATAACAGTGTGATGCTTCAATTCTAAATGACTTATCCCTACCACAACCCAAGGTGACCATGGAAGCCCTATTGTAAGGGCAAAACGGCAGCTGCGCATGCGTGCAAACCGAATCTTCGTGTGGCCGGAAAACGCACCATTGTGCGCAAGCGTGTGCAAACCGAAAGTGCGCGGAAACTCGCGCAGCAGCCGTTGCACAGGAAGTGATGCTGCTCCCTGGATTAAGCTCTCCATATAAGGACGAGCCCCTGCTCCATTGCTGATGGTCTTTTCAGCTTGTGTTCCGTGCGCCTGTTCCTGTTAAGTTTTCTGTGACCGGTCTGACCAGGATTGTTTTGGATTGCTGCCTGCCCCCGACCTCGGCCTGTTTATGGACTTCGCTTTCTGCCTCGTGATTTTGTACTCTACTGCCCGGCTGGCTCCGACCTCTGGCTTTCCTGACCTCGCTCCAGTCTCCTGTTCCTGCCTGCAAACCATCTGCTCGGAGGACCTCAGGACGTCTCCTGCACAGTGTCGGCTTCCATCAGTGGCACTCGTGCTCCTCGCTGTCCGTCTGCCCCCTGTCCCCACCTCCAGGGGCAGAGGGACACGAGCCGCAAGAGAAGCCTCCTCACCTTCCGGTCTCTTACCAGGGACGTGACACCTATGGTGTGTAGAAGCTTCCAGCCCAATATTAAGATTCTCTTTCTTTTTATTTACTACTGTACTATTGGATCACAACAATATTATAAGTAAAAATATAAAGAATCCTCAGGGTTCCAGTGCCTCTTATCCATTTTCTTAAAGGAGAACTATGGGGTTAAGTATTTTCCCCATAGTTCTCCTTGGGGTAACGGGAGGACACAAACTAGCGTCCTCCCGTCACCCTAGGCTCAGTATACCGCGAGCTGTAGCTCGCTGTATACTGAGACGCCACAGCTGAAGCGGATCCCGACAATTGTGCCGGGATCCGCCCAGCTGCGTGAGTGACAGCTGGCTCTGCCTATCTAGAGGCAGAGCCAGCTGTACCCGCCCCCTCCCCGTCCGATCCGCCAGTGAGCGCTGGCGGATCGGAGCGGGGAATCCAGCCCCTCCCCTGTCACGGCAGAGAGCCGTGACAGGTTCGAGAGGTGAGCGAACGCCGGTATGTGTTCGCTCACCTCCCGATCTACTGAGCCGACCTGTGACAGTCTCATTGTCACAGGTCGGCTAGAACTATGAGGTGAGTGAAAAGCGCTCACCTCATAGTCCTCCTTTAAGCAACACCTGCAACCGTGACTCTTAAACCTCATAGGTGGGATCACAAATAGTGAGGTGGAAGAAGGTGGGCCAGCCATTCACTTTCCTGATGCAAGCTGGTATTTGCATAGCTTCCAGGTTATCAGAGGTCCTGGGGGACTAATAAGGGAACTGAGAGGTACATGCGGGAAGCACTTTTGTGAATTACTGTTGGCAGTTTACAGGTTATATGGAAAGAGCTCTTCTTTAAGGAGCAGATAAGGGAAGGGCGGGAAGGAGGAGGCTATTTGTGACACTCCACCTTTTCCTGCAGATTCTGGATCTCGCCCGACAGAGGAGCAAGAGAGTGAAAGTGGTGGGAGGTGGACACTCCCCATCGGATATCGCCTGTACAGACGACTTCATGATCCGATTGGATAAAATGAACAAAGTTCTGAAGGTAAAACGATCTTCAACATACAGTAAAATGTTTGTAATGTAGTCACAGTCCGATGTATGAATAATGGAAGCCGGCCAACAAGTTAGAGATTACTTCACTTCTTACCGTGTGGCCACCTAAATAAAAAAAGTCACCAAAGCTCGCCATGGGACCGGCATCCACCCAACTGTTCGCTGGGCAGAACAATTATACTTCAGCCCCATACCAGCCTAATAAAGATATGCAGTATCATATTTCCAAATGTGTGCTAATAATACACTATAGAAATAAGGAGAGTCTTTAGAAATCAGCCCCTTTGTGTATCTATTCTAAAACTGACCTCGCCCACGACACCAGTGTCACAAAGCGTGATTCGTTTTTGTGAATCGAGTACAAAGCAGAAGCTGTTTGCTTTCAGACTACCTGTCTAATTGAATCTCCATGCATCCCTGTCTGGGGACAGCAGGCAGGGAGAGGGAGCAGAGATGATTCACTCCTCTAACTCATTCAGACATGTGTGTGTAAATTGAGAGCTTTGGCTATTGAGCTGCGTGAACAACAGGCATGAGCAAAGCAGCTAAGTTTAGTCTAGTATACATGTGAGGATGAGCCTGGAGCTTCATCTGCTGGCTAAAAATTTACATGCAATGTAAATTATCTGAACAAAAAACATTTTTATATTATAATATAAAATATATTAATATTATATTATTAATAATTTAATTTATATAAACATACACTAGTCCTAGGCTACTAGTCCAGTAGTGAAGGGGGACGAGGGGGTTAATGTGGAGGTGCTCTCTGGGGACAAGCTGACAGATTCTTCCTCTGCATTCAGGAAAAATGCTGAGCAGAGATGAACTGTTATAAACCTGGAATCATTGACCGAGTACGAATCTGCGGTGCGGCACACAAGGAACTGTTCAATATTTAATTGTATTAACAGGAAGAGGAGCCGTGTAGAAATACATCTTTCCAAACATCAATCTATAGGAGGCCCGGCGCTGGATGTTAATTTAATTGGAATTCAAAGTCACTTAAGGGAACAAGTTGTTGAGGATTTCTGGAACAAATTCAAGAATGATACCTGAATGCCATTCGGGTCTGGGAGCCCCAGCTTTAGTATGAGTATCTGTATATGGTTTTCTGTGGTACTCACAACGAATATTCGTAAACTCATCCGCAACTAACGAAACCCGAAACCCAAAAACCCGAAACCCAAAACAACGAAATATCTGAAACGAACCGAACTTTTCCGCAGCTTACATGTCTACAAGGCACTGCCATCGACACTGATTCATGTCTTTGACATTCTGTGGCAGCATTTCTATATTGAGAAAATATTAAAATTCCTGGAGGTTTCAATTTTAACACTCCCCCAAATCATCCACAATAACGTATGCCAACCTAACGTTACCGGAAACAACAAGTCCATTTAGACAGGTTCCTACAGATGGTTCTCTTTGGGCAGGATGCAGTAGGAGTACACAAAATCCTTTGTTAGATATACACTGAGTGGCCAGATTATTATGACCACCCCATCAGTACTTGGTTGGGCCGCCTCGTGACTCCACGAGATGGTGAAAGGTGATGCGAGGAATCTGACACTGCACTGTCACCCTTCTGTTGTCTTGTACCAGTCTTGCCCCTCCCCCGTTCTGCCCTAACATTGACTAGTCGCTGACGGCCACAATTCGCACGTTCAGACCCAGATTTTCGGCTGACAGTCCGGTCTTTAAACACTTTAACAACAGCTGCTCTTGAACATGTAACGGATTCTGCTGTTTTGCTGATACTCGCTCCATGGCTCCGAGCGCCAACAATCATCCCGCGTTCAAAGGCTGTTACATCGTGTTGTTTCCCCGTATCTTCAGAAACAAATCACTTCTACTGTCGTGGTAACCAACCTGCTCCCCTATTTATAATGGTCTGGCCCTCCAGCAACTTCAGCGCCAAATTATAGCTAATTTGCCTACAAACGTCAGGTGGTCATAATAATCTGGCCACTCAGTGTATAAATAATACAAAATAGCACATTGCATGGAAACACATACGCATACAAGTGGTGGGCAAACTCTGGCCCTCCATCCGTGGTGCACATCCCATTAGGCATTGCAAGATTCTGAGAGCCCACAGGCATTACTCCCAAAAGCAGAGGTTCACCACAGCTGGAGGGCCAGAGTTTGGTTACCCCAGCCATATACCCTTCATCTATAAAAACTGCAACATTGTCACTAATACCGCTCACCCGAACCACAGTCGCCCCAACAACCATGGCTGCATAGTATCTGGTTAGAGTCGCTAGGGTAGTGCTGGAGATCAGGGATTACATGGCCTTGCTGAGTTACTGTAATGCTCTCTGCAACTTAGTTCTGGAACATGATCTTAATAATGGGGCCCCAATGATCCAGCCATTATTATGAAATATTGATCAACTTTATTCCCCACAACGGTAAAGTAGTTAGACCGCCAACTATTTCTGCCACGGGTCACAGACGAAAACATAATTCCAAATCACCAAATTATGAGGGAGACAGATAGAGTATTAACCACGTGTAATGGGTTACAGTGTATCAAGCCAAGTGCCGGTGTCTTCTCACAAGACGCTAAGTGCTTCACGGATCTCCGGCATTATATTTTATAATCATTCCAGGGGGAGAGGTGAATGTTCTTCATATGGAGCTAAACTCTGCTCTAACCACCCGTGTAATAGGTAAGCATACTCCATTTACTGAATGGGACAAAGTAGGGGCACTGATTAAAGTTTGGCCGATGACTTGATACGCCTCATGCAATTCAAACTGTGGTGGGTGGGGTGATCCGGAACCACACTGGGAACTAGCCGATGAGTTTCACCCATGTCATTGGTGGACTTTTATCAGGGCCATGGTTGCGGGGATGACTCTGGTCCAAATAGGAGTTTTATTGTACTGTAGTGTTCTGTATTCACAAGTAGGGCATGCTCAATGGCTGTCTATGATGTTTCATCTGCCAGACCCTGTTGGGATCCAAAATGCTATGGTAGGGGTACGTCATGGTTAGCTTTGATCCATGTTAGTTCGCCAATCACTAATGAGCTTGGTGGGTTTATCTGTAAAAAAAACTCCTGAGCATGCATGCTGGTGGGGTTGAGTCTTGAGTGTTCTGTTACCTGCTTCTGGGTGCTGGGCTTCTCCCCAGGCATGAGTGCCCTGGTCCTCAGGGCCTACCATGTGCTACTGGATTCTACTGTCTATCTAAGAAGGACCTAACCCTGATCTGGCGACTAGCAGGGATTCACAGGAGACACTGGAGCACCACATGGACCTCCACTGGTCTATCTGCCTAACCTGAGATGATCCAGTAGTTTAAAGAGCTATCACTGGGGACAATGGCGTAACACCTGAACTTCCACTGGTCAAGAGCTGCTGTCACGATCTGGGATCAGGCTCGGAATCCAGTAGCTGAAACAGCAGGCAAAGTCGTAGTCAAACAGACCGAGTTCGGTACACAAGACGGGAGTAGTATAGGAGCAGGCAGAGGTGTAGTCAGAGATCAAGCCGAGGTCAGTAGTCAGTATGAAGTGGAAGACGATGAGAGTAGTCGGTGAATCAGCAGCCAAAGGTCGGTACACGGGTAGCAGTATGAGCAGATTGTATCACAGGAGGAGCCGGAAGCAACATATTGGCAGGAGCACAATAATCTGGCAAACAGGAAGTGCAGAGGCGTGGCTTAAATGGGAAGTTCAAGGGAGGAGCAAGGAGTTCAGAGTTCAGCAGAAACTAGGTTTACCTGAGGATTACACAGGAGAACAGGCAAGGAGCTATCCAAGGTTCTAAGGTGGCACAGCAGGTGGAACCACTGCCGGCTACGGCAGAGGCCCTGGGTTCAGATCCAGTTCCTGACAGCTGCAGTCATACCTGGTACAGAGAAAACAGCAGAGCCTGTGCTGTGATGGAACTACTTCTGCCTCCTATGTGCAGGGGGAGTCTGAGCTCCATGCAGGGACTGTTAGGGTAACAGAAGATGTTCTAATGTTGGGTATTCCGGCCCTTCCTACCCTTGTCTGTTTGTAATAAAAACCTTTGAAAGACATTCAAGGACTTGAAAATGCAACTACTGTATGTACTACTCCCGTGGAGAAGATACTCTCGATTGGGAGGTCCTACTTGCATTGTACAGGGCCCAATTGAGTGGAAGCACTGCCATGAGAGACTTTATTAGGGCCCCATACTCCCACTTTGTGCAGGCTCAGCCTTCCATTTCCAAACTGCTGCATACTATATCAGTAGCCAGAAGAGAGAAGTAACTAAAGTGTGTAACAACATGGCTACACTTATATACTGTATATAATGAAGGACTTTTTGTACTTATGCCGCATTCAGCCCAAGAAGCAGGGATGTGCGGTCAGAGCCTCACCTAGAATTATAGAGTAAAAAGCTGTCAGCTTCATGTCTGAAGCTGACCGCTTTTTCTCCATTCAGATCGGCATCTATCAGGTAACAGAGCATGGAAAGCCTCCCCGCTGTGTAACCTGTCACAGAGCCTCAGTGTTAGGAGCAAGTGAGGGACATGGAGGCTCCTCCCTGTCTCCTCCCTTCCTCCTTTACACTAGCTTGGCTTCAATCAGCAGGGGTGGGGCTTCGGCCAGCGGGGGGGTTGGCCTAGGGAATGCCTCACCCCGAACAAGAGGTACCGCACGTCACTGCCAAGAAGACGTGGAGGCCTTCCTTGGTTGCATTTGTTTCCACCATTTCCCTATCACCCATCTGGTTTCAGACAAGGACTCCGACCTCACGTAGCCCTCAAATCTCCTGTGAAAATTATTCAAGCTGTAAAAGTAAAGAGCCTCCTCCAATGATAAGCAGAAAGAACCTTTTTTTCATCAAAAATGACTTTTTGCGGAAGAACATCTTGATTAACGCATCCCCCTTTTCTCATATCATTTCTTTGAGGGATTAACAACTTTTCCAGATGAGCAACTGCAGCTTATATGATTCACGGAGAAGAGACTGACACCTGAAAGTATTCTCCTTTTATCACAGGGAAAAGATTACTCTCTTTTCACCTCGATTCTATTCAAACACAAAATTCCATTTGATTTGACATTTTATTCAATTACATCCCTTGGTTTCAATCATTCGTTTGGTCGGCGTAAATCCTTCTTAGTCTAGAAAGCCTTTCTGCTCAGACAAAGGCTCCGGCTAAAGTCTCCACGTGTTTGCCGAAGAGATCTAAATCGCTCCTTTTTAAATGTTACTTCTGTAGTTACAAAGTATGAGGTGCCCGCCCTTCCGTGCTCCAATGACGGGAAGATATTGCCAGTTATCCGCCATAAATTTAATGAAGGCGCGATACATGGCGAATGACTGTAATCCGTGGCTGAGGGTCAGGGACCGGCATCTGTTAGCAGATAAGAAAGGCAACTACTGTTTAAGCAGCAGCGAGACAACTCAAAGTAGATGTAAAGCCTAAGTGAATTACATTTAGTTTGCTGGATCATCATATACAACTGCCATTAAATGAACAAATGGCATTTCTCAGGGTGGGTTTCCTGATGGGGACTACACTGGACCATGACTGTGTAAGGAGGGTTGAAACGGCCACTTGTAGTCTCCATTGGAAGCCTGTGTGACAGGGTGACAACTAGGCATGAGCTGCGGGGTTTGTGTCAACTATGACTTCAACTTGAACCCAAGCTATTCACACCTTGTCAAATGGGTGAATGATTGGGCTAGTTTGCCCACCCGCTGAACCTCCCTTTCTCCTAACAAACAATGACACTGTGAAATCCACACAACGTTACTGGTTGACAGGTGGCTAAGCCACACGGCTCCATTGGTTCACCGGTTGCTGAGACACACAACATCATCGGTTGACTGGTGGCTGATCCACACAGCGTCATTGGTTGACTGGTGGCTGAGTCTCACAGCGTCATTGGTTGACTGGTGGCTGATCCACACAGTGTCATTGGTTGACTGGTGGCTGAGTCTCACAGCGTCATTGGTTGGCTGTTGTCTGAGTCTCACAGCGTCATTGGTTGGCTGTTGTCTGATCCGCACAGTGTCATTGGTTGACTGATGGCTGAGCTGCACAGCATCATTGGTTGACTGATGGCTGAGCTGCACAGAATCATTGGTTGACTGGTGGCTAAGTCTCACAGCGTCATTGGTTGAGTGGTGGCTGAGCTGCACAACGTCATTGGTTGACTGGTGGCTGAGTCTCATGGTGTCATTGGTTGACTGGTGGCTGAGCCGCACAGCATCATTGGAGTACTGGTGGCTGAGTCTCACAGCGTCATTGGTTGACTGATGGCTGATCCGCACAGTTCACAGTGTCATTGGTTGACTGGTGGCTGAGTCTCATGGTGTCATTGGTTGACTGGTGGCTGAGTCTCACAGTGTCATTGGTTGACTGGTGGCTGAGTCTCATGGTGTCATTGGTTGACTGGTGGCTGAGTCTCACAGTGTCATTGGTTGACTGGTGGCTGAGTCTCATGGTGTCATTGGTTGACTGGTGGCTGAGCTGCACAACGTCATTGGTTGACTTGTGGCTGAGCCGCACAGTGTCATTGGTTGACTGATGGCTGAGCCGCACAGTGTCATTGGTTGCCTGGTGGCTGAGTCTCACAGTGTCATTGGTTGACTGGTGGCTGGTCCGCACATTGTCATTTGTTAAAATGGTGGCTGAGTCTCAAAGCGTCATTGGTTGACTGGTGGCTGAACGGCACGGTGTCATTGGTTGACTGGTGGCTGAGCCGCACAGCGTCATTGGTTGACTGGTGGCTGAGCCGCACAGCGTCATTGGTTGACTGGTGGCTGAGCCGCACAGCGTCATTGGCTGACAGTTGGCTGAGCCGCACAGTGCCATTGGTTGCTTGGATGCAGACAAGAGAACCATCAAAACCTATGGTGCCGTGGGACCGCCAGTGTTTTCAGGCCGCACAGCTTCATTCGTTGCTAAGATGCTGGCAGCCCCCCACCATCATTGGTTGTAATTATGAGACTTCCTTGGGCACTTAACATGGGAGTGGGGCACACTTGACCTCTCTCTGCCTTAGGTGCTAAAGGACCTTGTCCAATCACTGTCCATACCCAGCTCTTTGGTGATCAGTATACTGATCCAGAGCAGGCAGGCAATTGAAGGCTTAAACATAGGAATTCGGACAGCAGCAATGGGGAGAGCTGAGACTCCATAGCCTACAGAATGACAGGCCCAGAATTAGGCATTCACAGAACTAGCTTAGTTCTAGGGAGCGTATGTCACATCTGGA